TTCTCATAGTTGAAGGAGTAAATGAGCAACTAATAAACATTCTAATTTAATAAGTGTACATATCCTGCTAACAAATTTTCTTTTGAATAACAGAACTGAAAGGTTGATGTGGTGTTTTGGTTTGGTTTGATTTTTTTCAAAGAGTAAAAGTAAATCCCACAATTAAATTATAGCAATAATGAAAAAAAAATTGAGCAATGTGCACATAAAGTTTAAGCTGGGGAATTGCAAGGCAAATAGTCATTTTCCAGTTTGGAAGTAACATCCTAACCTGTTGATTTATGTTCCCTCCACACCATTTTGCACTTAGTGAAAACAGCACTGGCCTGCATTGACAATTCTCTTGAAAAGCCCATGAACCTTGAACAGCATTGCTGAAATCCTGCATTTCTGCCATAACAAGCCTAGCAGCCTGGAGAGAGCTGATGTAACTGGACCCAGACACAGACCCTCCGTGTCATCAGAGCTTTGCTTTCCTGTCCTGACATGGGGGATGCTGGCATGCAGCACCCACCAGGGCACGGCTTGCCCTCATGGGTGCCGGCATGTCTTCATTGACTCGACCCAATGCAGCAGTTTCTGTGATTGAAGGTGAGACTTTTTCAGCCAAACTCCTCTGCAGAAGAGCTCACAGCACAAATTCTGTGGTACCATGGCCTCTTTCCATCTGTACCTCTGCCCTCCTGCACCACCATCCATGGACAGCTACCTCTGCATTTGGGGTCTTGGAGGGAAAGCCAGGGTGTCATGGAGCAATGTTTTCTACCTTTGATTTGCCAGAGGGTCACGACCCATCAGAGTTTTCCACCATCCACTGTTGTTAGAGGACACAAAGTAGGAAGAGAGGGTTCATATTACAGCAGCTGAGGTTTTATTTCTCAGGAGGCGAAAAGCTTTTATTTCAGGGTTTTTAACCCTTTTTATAAGGTGTTCCTATACAGGTTAACCTGAAAGGTACAAGAAACAACACTTCTCTCATCCCATTGGTGGGACAAGAGAAAAAACTCTCAGAACATCTGTGTCATTGTTTTGAGAACTAAAATCTTATTTACACAACAGTCTTTGAGAGAGAAAAGCTTCTCAAAAGACTTTCCCTTGGGAAACAGTTCAGCCACTAAGAGCCTGGAACTCTCTCAGGCTCAGAAAATCATGTCCACAATCCACAACACCGCCACTTCAGCCTGTCACTGTCACATAATCCCCCCCTAGGTGACATTTCCTCCTGGATATTAGAGGTTTTGTACTAGAAAAGGTCCCGAGAGACCAAAATGACAAAAACTAACCAGCCCTGAGGAGGTCTGGGGGAGCAGAACAGTGATGATCAGGACATTCACCAATATAACACTGTTGAGTCTTCTGGGAAAACTTGATCAGAATGGGAACCTGAATGTAAACAAATGACTACTTCTGGATTCTTCTAGCCCAGCAGGCCAGAACAGGTAAATATCTGCTATCTCAGCATTCCAGCAGCTATTAGAAATACACAGATAGGTTTCAATCATGCTTACTAATACAACAGTAAGGAAGGGAGTTTCAGGTATTGTGTTAATCAACAGGTGCTAAAGGAATACAACCTTTTTGGAGGCAAAGTTTGGCATGACAGTCTTTTCTTTTCCATGACATGTACTAGAGAGCACAGAAACACAATCAGCAAGACCACTTTCTTGCTCCAAGTCTCAATATTTGAACAGATGAGTCACTGATACATGCTTCAGATATTCCTATGCTAAAACTAGGTTATAAGTCATATGTATGAAATCTACTCCTGTGCTATAAGCTGCCTCTGACAGCTTTTTCCAAATACTGACCTAGAGAATGTCTGGTATGTTCAGACTGATCTAAGAAGTCTGGATTTTATATTCATGATCCCAATTTATAAGCACATGTCACGCAAATGGACTTGTCTCAGCACTGATTTCAAGAGCTAAGGAAAATGCAGCAACAGAAAAAGCTTTGCTGGTCCATTGGCTGAAGAAGCCAAATTTCATCAGATGTATATGCTTCCATTGCATTAGTAAAGGGAAAATACAGATTTTTCTGGCAGCATCTGAGTACAAAATAAAGAGTTCATGACTGAAACTGATAAATATGCACTATTCATTAGTACACACAGGGAGAAGTGTAGAAAAGAGCTGTTATAGGTGCTCTGATCACTAAGATAAGGGTCTAAGATTCAGGAAAACTGGATATAATTGAAGGCTCTGACAGACTTTCTTTATGACCTTGGACTATTCATCAGATACTGCCAACCCCAAGTTATCCAGCTATACAATGAAGATGTGTTTAATTAAAGCCCCTCCACTCTATTTTGGTTGGTTCTCCTACATTGTTATGCAGAGACATGGACCTAGAGGGAGATTTCTTTGACCATGAAGGAAAGGAGGGATGGGGTGTGAGAATCCTTTCAGAGATGAATGTGATTTGATCCAAGAAACAATCAAAGCACAGCCCTAGCAAGCCTGGGGGCTGAAGGAGAGGCTGCATCCATGCAGGTGGCCTGGAGTTGGAGCTGGGGGACAGGGATTGCTGTTGGAAGAATTAGCACTGTAGGGACAACAGACCCACCTGGAAGGAGGGTGTAGGTTTTACTAGCAAAGCCAAATTCATCTTCTTTGACTTAAATCAGAGCTACAACGATTTGCACCAGAAAAACAGCTGGTTCTGAAATCAAAATAGCTCCTTAGTCAAGGGCACGTTCCAGGACTTGGATCATCTTTAGCAAAGGAGAGAGGTTCAGTGTCAGAGAGTTTGACAGGGAACATGGGAAAAGCTAACTGACCTTTATGGAGAATGTAGGCACAGGGAACCAAGGCTTAATCCTCAAAAAGCCCTGAGGTATCACTCTCATTGGTGCCAGGAAATTTGTGCCCCTCTAAACAGGCAGACATACTTACCAACAGAGCATACAGGTCCAGATGCTGTGTGTGCCTTGATTATTGCATAATATTATCAACCAGATTTTTTTTAAACCTTTAAAATGCCCTGTTCAGACAAATCCAGCTTCATTTTTCAGAGGTCAGTAAAAGGAACAGCTCATTTCTTTGATGTAAATATTAACTGACTCTGTTGAATCTGCTCTCTCACAGAATCACTTCTTTCCCAAAGAGAGTAAAATTATATGTTGTCAGACACAATGAATTTCCCTTTTGCCAAACTGGAATACCATCACTAGAGCATTAAGAGAATTGATCTGGGGTAGCTCAGGAAGCACCTTTAAAAAGTGCAGTATCAACAGTTCTGCCTTGTAAGGATGAGACATACATAGATCTCTGAATTTCCTATAAACTTACTTGAGTCCTTGTAAAACATTTTAATTCTCTTGGCAAAACCACTAAGCCTTTATGGAGATGCCTTTGTGACTTGTCTTTTGGAGATCCATCTCCCTCCTTCTGTTTCTTTTCCAGGTAAGAGCAAGCCAAGAATTACAGAGTTCTGTGCAATTAATAAAAGTGTCATCCCTGGACACTTTGCCACTGACATGGACCAGCTCCTGCATTTTGCTCACCACTGCAAGTGCCATTGCATCGGGAATTATTGACATTGCCACCGAGGGGGCTATAGCTGTGTGAGTATAAATAAGCACAGTGCTAGGAAAAGGCACTCAAGGATAAATAGCAAAGGTAGTGCATTGTGTGGGACCGAAATAACTCCATGCTGTTCACTGACAGTATCTTCTGCTGGCTGTCATGTACTGGCTATTTCCAGCCAGGGCCCTTGTCTTCTCCTGAAAGGCAAAAAGCATGTGTGGCTTCAGAAGCCATGGGACTCCTCCCTGTCCCTCCAAGATGGTGACACTGAAAAGCTGAGACCCATTTACAAGTACACTGTGAGTAGCAGTGCTCGATATCCAATATCTGCCAGCATTTTCAGAGCTGTGAAGATCCCAGGCAAAATTACCAGCACCTGTATGGACTCCCTCTCTTGCAATCACAGGGTCTCTTCAGCAGCCCCCTGTGACAGGGACCAGTTTGGGGGTTTCACCCATGCTCTGTACCCCCAGAGGAGGCTTATGGGTGCCACTAGGGAACTAAAACATACAAATTATCTCGTTGAGAGGCAGACCATGACAGAAAGATTTGGGCTAAGTCAATTGGTGTATGTCCCCTCAATGCATCTCACCAATTTGGGTGAGCAGGTCTGTGGGTGTTTGGAAATGTGAGAGGAGAGAAGGATGCAACAGGTCCATAATGTCCATGTCTTGATGCAGTGGGGAGAGGGAGAGCCAGGGGTCCGTTCTGCAAACTGGACCAATTAAATACCAGTTTGATCCTAGATAATGAGTGTTGAAAGAGCCACACTCCTGGCATGTGACTCCATAGATGTTAATTCATCAAGGATGAGCTTGGCTTGGATGATACCTCAGATAAGAACCACAGAGAAGTATTTTGTCAAAATACAATAAATAAACAAGTTCCTGATCTTCAATGGAACTGACAAAGATTCACATTTAGAACTCACTGGAAAGCTAAAACAATGTTTTGGCATTTATAATGGCATTTGTAAATGTCCTCTTAGCACTTGAATTGTGTTATTTTACTCTACAAGTTACTATTGCACTGATTCATTTTTTCTTTGTTTGTTCTATTTTAAAGTAGAACATTATGGAGCAATCCAGAGCTCAAAGCCAATTCGCTGTTTTGCTCTCCAGGGTACAGAGATGTTTATTTCAAAACGAATCTTTTAATGATCTTTTCCAATTACAAAATAATGAAAGAAAGACAATTCTTATCCTGTATTAGTTATTGTATTACATGTAAGCCCATTTAAGCAGTAAATTACTCATGATATTAAAGCTAGATTCCTGGATTTTTATGCAACTTTGCTTTGCTACCAGCCTTCTCCTCAGTGCAGTACATTAGTTTTCCCTTTGAAGAGAATGTCCCCTCTTGAGTGATATTCTAGTCATAACAGTCAGGTATTTCAGACTGTGAAGGGAAGGTCAAAAACTAAAAAATAATATAGTTCTGCTCATGCCAAGGGGATAGTAACTAGCACAGAAGGCAATTATTTTAATGCAGATATGCTCTCAGCAAGGTTTCTCAACTTTATGTAGTCACACAACTTCTGCTGAAAGATTATACCTGGGACATTTGGACTGTCATCAACCAGTAGCTCAGACTTAACATTAAAAAGAAGTACTACTCTTCAAAGAAATTATCTAAATTGTCTATTTCATTTCTAATAGGTACATGCAGTTTTGTCCTGCTTAAAGTTACATCCTCACTACAAAGTTAAGCTCAGTTCTTATTGGGTTTTGCTCCACCAGATTTCATCATCCAGAGAGATGGTTCAGAAATACTGTGAGTTCTGCTCCAGGACATTCATGGCTCCATGTTCTCAGTCAGCAGGGGATGCAGTGTCTTGCTTGTCCACATCTGCTGCTTCAGGCCTGGAAAATCTGTTTGTGCTTCTAGCCAGAAGTCTCCAGAGTCTTAAGTAGCCTCCAGCAAAACTCTTCTGCAATAGTGTTGAAATAAAAAATGTTAACATGTCCAGAAAATTGATTAAACCCAAATTAATCCTGAAGCAGTTATGGCAGCCTTTCTGTGCATATGACTCTGCTGAACCAGCAACTGTGCAATATCTGAAGCAGCAGCCATTCAGGGACAAAGTAAGAGCGTACCAAGAAATCCAAGGTCTGCTTTGGCATGTTTCAGAGAGCATTTCTGCTGCTAACTCCTAAGTGTCAAGTCCTTCACTGCACTCTGCTGCCATTGCAGCCTCTGCCAGCTCAGAGAGACAAGAACAGATCCACTATCAGCTGCCACGGTTGATCATGTTGATGTAAATTCCATTTCAGAAAGGTCTCAGCCAACCTGGGACTCGTATTAGATCTTTTAGGGACTCATGAAGTCCTTCACCAGCACCTTGAGTCAGGACAGGAAGTCCTGCAGTACCTATAGCACACCTGAAGGCAGATTAGAGTGGAACAGCAGGGTGATGCTTAAACCCTGTAATCCTCACAACCACAGGTTAGAGACCTTCCTGGCAGCTCTGGTTCCTGGACTACTACTACTACCACCACCCTCTCATTTAGATTCCAGTCACATGGGTGATTTTGGGGGCTCTGTGGCATTTAGGAGATGCTACATTCAATGTTGCACAATTTAAGGCATATTTCTGGGGAATTGAGCAGTGGAATTTTCTTGGTCTTCCTTTCACTACTAATGTACCTGTAGAAGCCCATCCTGTTGATCTTCCCATCATCACCAGCTATCAGCTCAAACCCAGTTTTGGCTTTCTTAATCCCATCCTGTGTAGCTCTGCACTGCTCCTTGATTTCCTGTCCCCGCTTCCCCCGTTACGTGTTTTTTTATGTGTGAGTTAGTCAGTAGTTCTCTGTACACCCTGGCTTCATGAACTGCCTTCTTAACCTCCTGCATGACAGTAGGGATCATGCCTGGGCTTTGAGGAGACGGCCCTTGAAGATCATCCACCCTAAACATCCCTTCACTCTTCACAGCAATATCCCATGACAAGCTGCTTGCTAGTTTCCTCAGCAAGCCAAACTCTGGTGTTCTGAGCCCAGGATCCTTTTTCTGCTGCTCACCTATCTCTGGTTTCTCATGGTCTGAAATTCTACCACTTCTTATTCTCTCCAAGGCTTCCATTGACCATCACATCCCCAACCATTTCTCCCTTGTTTGTGAGTAGCAAATCAATCAGAGCACTCCTCTACTCAGCATGGCCAGAACCCATGTTGAGAAATCATCCCGGACCCTGACTCCAGAAATCTGCATTTCTTACCCTACTGTGTTTCCTGCTCAAGCAGATTTTATATCAGGCAGTAAATCTTAACAAAACTAGAGCTTGAGGCAGTGACACTTTTTCCATGAGTGAGATAAGGCTTCATCTTTTTTGTATTTTTGGCCAGGTGAGCTGTAGGAAATGCTTACCCTGTGTTGGCCTTCCCTCTGCACCTGGCCTTCAGAATTCCATCCATCTGGGCTGCTCCTGCCTGTGCAGAGCATAACTGTCCTTCACATCTCACCCTCCTCCTTCTAAAATGCACATTTCCACCCATCACAGCTGTTAGAGCTCTTACGGCGCATAAGTACGAAGGAGCAATGGGTGGGTCAGTACCCTGCCTATCCAGCTCCAGCATCCTGGGAATACTGTGTCTCCCAATCCAATCGATATGGAGATCCAGGCATCATCTCAAGATGACTTGCTGAAACACCTAAATTAGATGGTGCACCTTCATCTCTTGATTATTACTCTGAAAAATGATAATAATAGCCTTGGGGCAAGGCTTTAATCCACAATCCCCACACATCCCATTATAGTTACAAACACGTTATGCATACTCTGTCAGGTTCAGTAGAAAGAATAACTATTCTTCTCCAATGTTGTAAAGACAGATGAACAATGGAAGTCCTCTCAAAGATCTGTTTTCCTTTTCCTTCAGAAAGTCAAGGACTTCCCTGCTTGTCCACATAAGGTCATGGTTGATGTGCTTTTGTTGGCTTCATATAGGAGAGAAAAAAGGGAGGAGCCACACAGAAGGGAGCCCATTTGAGGTCAGACCTCATCAGGACCAGCAGACTTGGGAATTTGTGTCCAGATGTGACTTGTTTGTGTTTGTTTCTGCTGTATTCAAGGAAAGGGGGGGGAAAACTGTTTATTCTTCTGTAAATAAACAAGATCACAGGGAAAAATGACATGACATTTATATGAGCTTTGTCTCTTCCAAATAGAAAGGCTGTGACAGGTGACAGCATACTTACAGCCTGTTCCTTGAGCCTTAGTATGATCTCTTTCACATGGAAGAAGAATTAGGGTAAGAACATCTTGAAATTCCTCAAATTGCAGTTTTGTTTCTTTCCTTCAAGCTGCAAAAATCTCACTGCAGATATTTACAGTTCAGTTTAAGCAACAGGAGCTGTAACTAGTTTGTGGTCCTTCCAGTGCAGCCTCTTTAAAGGACGAAGATCTTAGTCCCAGCCAGCACAGGAGCACATATCTCTAACACTTGGAAGCAGGATAATCCAGAAAGGAAATACAGATTTTAAGGAAATCCAGACTGACAACCTCTCTTCCTGCAGCAAATCACTGCCTGATCCAGTTTCCAGTTTGACTGCTGGTCTGTTTTCTGCAGTACACCTGCAGGTAAAAAGGCAATACAAGCAACACACCCATTCCCAGGTGAGGAGCAAGTGAGTCGATGGTGCAGCTGTGTCTGTACAAAGGAGCTGCTAATGGTTCTCTTTGAGTGGAGGATGGTTGGTTGGTTGGTTGGTTTGGCTTTGACAGGGTAAGGGACACAAACCATAGAATAAACAGAAGCAATAAGAAGCATCTTTAGAGTTCTTTCAGAGAGTGATTTGGCTATCTGTGAGGGGAATTAAATGGATGAGCTAAAAAATTGTTTTTCCCCAGGCAGAGAGGAAACACTGGTGGGATCAGGAAACACAATGGCATCTCTAACTGCTGCACTAACCAGTGAACTAACACTGGTCTCACTAGAGCTTAGCACTACTAAAATGTCTCTATGATTCCAAGCAAAAACAGAGAAATACTGTAATTTTGCTGATGAAATGCTGGTTTTGGCCTGCACAGAAAAATGCATTGTTCAGACTGCTTTGGTATTCATAGTATATCAGGTACTGGCCCCTAACAGGACAAGAAGAACAGTCTGAACCAGACAGATTGGAGACAGGGAACCTGCAGGACCTCCAGGTCCTGTCATGCTGGCTCACAGAGAGCCTGCTGCTTCATAGGCTGCTGCTCCAAACGCACCTGCAATACAAGTAAAATTGACTTGAGCTCACTTCACTTTTTTCCATACCTCAAGACACCCAGCTACACATGGTCACCCCATATCCAGCTGCCTCCCCTTGCTACACTGCCCCCTTTCTCAAGCTGCAGTGCCTGAATCTTCCAAGGACAGAGTTTCCTTAATTAATCATCAGGCAGACTTTTTTTTCTTTTCTCTGTCTCTTTTTCCATTTCTGAGTTGCGACGTTTCCTGCCAATGTTCTGCTTGGAATGAATTTCTACAACAGAGCCGTAAAACTTCTGAAAATAGATACTTACACTGGAAAGCCTGACACACCCTATATGGAGCCTGTGAGTGGCAGAACCATAATCAAAAGAGAGTCAAGGCACTAGGCTGTGCTAACAGCATTCAATTAAGCTCTGAGCAAAGCAGCCCTAAGAGAAGAAAGTAAATGGGAACTTTGTAAACGCCCCCAGGCTCTTTTCATCACTCAGAGACATTTCAGTTTCTTCTCTTTAGGGTGACCCTAGCTCAGGCAAGTTATTCCAATACAGCTGGTACATTCAGAACCCCTTGAAAAATAAAAATTCTCGGAAATAGCCAACTGTCGTGATTTCCTGATATGAAACTGCGTGTAAAACCTATGGGGGAAAAAAGCCAGTAGTCATATGATATGTCTGAGCTCTGCCTATCATTAGCAAGGGTGAGTTTTTCAGGGTAAAATTCTCCTGGGCCAAATAACAGGAGAGTGATAAATAAAGCTTGTCAACTGCCCCTTCTGACTCACTCTCTCCTGCTCAAGGGTGACTCACTGTCATGTGTGAAAGGCTGCCAGGTCTTGCTTACATGCTGAAACAAGCATGGGTTCTCTGTATTAGACACATATAACCTCAGAAAAAGCAGACGCTTGCTGCTGAGAAGACAGCCCTAGAAAGGATTCTGCTGACTAAAGGACCTGAACTTCAAGGTATTTCTCAACCCTTTCTGAAAAGTTCAAGGTTGTTGTCAGATTACCACAGAAAACTTAGATGCAAAGCCATGGTTGAGGACTTAGCTGTGAATGCAGCGTTTTAAACCACGGCTTATGGACATGAGGGTTTACCAGGTAACTCCTATGGGGTGAGCCAGCCAGCATGTTCTAGGTGCAGACAGAAGTAACCGAGACCCTGCCTGGTCTAGAGCTGCCTTTTGTCCAAGGAAAATGGCATGAAAAAAGCAGTCCCCTGTTGCTCACTATTTCATGAGGCTGCTCCCTCAAGAAGCCTGTGAGGAGCCTGCCTCGAATCTGTAGAGGGACAAACAAAGCACATTGAACATCATCTCTGAGTGTGAGTAACTCATCGACTGTTCCTGAGCAGCACCAGCAGCTGCTCAGCACTCCCTCCTCTCTGCAGTGACAAGGACCTTGCAGGTCAGTGGCCATGCACAAAAAGCTTGTTTGCACCCAGGAGCCTTGCTGCCTACGTGAGTGTGTGCTCCACCCTTTGGTCTTCTCCTGTCATCCCAGGCCCACCACCGGCCAAGTGCGCAACTCTGTGAAATCTCTGCCGCAGGCACTAATAACAAATCCCAGTTATTAGCACATACCACAGTCTGCATTGCCCTGAAGACAGGTGGCAAAGGACACCTTGCCCTTGTACTCTTTGGAAGGCTCCTTGCACTGTCTGTTGCCGAGCCATGACAAAGCAAGGTGCTTTCACAAGGACGAGCGTGCTGGGATGTCAAACCCACAGGTCCCGGAGGGCCCTGTGTTGCAGCTAGAGGGACACAGCTACACCTGTCTTTTAGCACACAGAGGACTCCTAATGCAGGAACTGACTGGAACTGAGGGGAAGATGTCCCACAGCCTTCCTCAGCTCCAGGTACTGGCCAACATCTTGCTGCATCATGTAGGGAAACCATGCTGCCACAGGGCAGTGATACCTTAGCCGCCTCCTGCGTGTTCTGCCAGGCGTGCACCGTCCAGGAGTCACCCATGCAGCTGGGAAAGCCACTTGCACGTGCTTTGACCCAGAAAAACTGCAGCTAAAGCCCCATCTTAAGGTCTCACCACCATTTTTCAGACCATATGATCTCTAACATGTCTGCCCAAAATGAAGGTATAACCTAGAAATTTTAATTTTGAATAGAATCACAGAATGGTTTGGATTGGAACAGACTTAAAGATCATCTAGTTCCAACTCCCCTGCCAAGGGCACGGACACCTTGCACTAGACCAGGTTGTTCAGAGAATAAAGAGTGTACCATCATTTATATGAGGAAGATACAGAAGCCACACACAGTTCTAAATATATCTTTTATATTTATTCTCCTCTGGGAGAAGGTTTCCATCATCTAAAATTTCGAAGAGGTTATTTTAAATATTTTTGCTGTGTACCAGAACGGATGTCTAATGAAAAGCTTGAAGAGAAGCTGCAGGCCACAACAGCCTCATCCAATGGCAAAAGGACTTACCTGACACATGGAAAATAAGCCTGGGCCACAATGCTACTTAGGCATTTAATATCACACGTGCAAGTCTAAGTGAGAAGACTAAGTATTAGCTGTGAACCTGCACTCCAGGTGTCTGTCTCAGTAAGGCAGTGCAGGGCCATCCCACAGAAGTGATCCAGTCCCTGGACTATTGGTTACTCCAGAAGAAATACATTTCTCATCATAATTACACTGCAGATTTTTGTTCTTTTAAAAACCAAACCACATATTGCAAGGGTAAAAGTATTCTTTTTATCCAGAATTCATATATTTTACTGAAAATTTTCCAAACTGGCACTAATGTATCAAATTTCTCTCTTTAGCAATGATGAAATATTATACCTGTGGTTTTCTTCCAGTGTTTATTCGTCCATTATTTTCCCATTTATTTTTATCAGCTATGACCAAGTTTTAGTTTTCATCCATTTAGATTTCATCCTAAATTTTCCTTGCTAAAATTTCCATGCTAATACTTTAGTATTTGGCAAGTACAGATAGTTTTACAGGCAAAATAGTCATAATTAAGGTTAATTCTATCCAAGAAAAAAAATAGGAAAAAAAAAAAAAAGTGAACACAATTTATTAGAGATTTTGGAATGGCTTCCTTCAGAAGCAAAATGTCACCAATTTTTTGGCTCCACTAAGTCATGCCTCCTGGTTGTTTTTCAAACTCATTAGAAAAGCAGGGTTGACATTGAAATCAATAATCATATTCATCTGCAGGTGTCAAAGCAGTTGTCAAAATCAGCCAGGAAAATAATCTCAGAAATGGCCCAATGAAGGGATTAAGATGAAGGACCAGGAACTACAGCTTAGATCTCCAGTCTCTTGTGTGCCAAAGTCCCCCAGCTTTGACAAATGAGTTAAGCTGCAATTTCAAAGTGATTTAATGAGCAAAGTGAAACCATGCTGTCACACAGAGCCACTGCTGATTGCAGTCACCTTCTCCATTGCTCCTTGGAGCACAGTGCTGCCACTGCTCAGCCTTCCTCTGAGGGCTTCTCGGGGTGGCAAACTGAAGTCATCCATCAGGATAGAGGAACCACTCATCCTTGTTCTTGTTCTTCCTCTTCCTCTTCTCCTCCATTGGTCCATGGGTTGTGCTCATCCAAGATTTTAACTCACTACAATGAGCTCCAGTGATGCCCACCCTGTTAGAAAACATCATGTTAATCTGCCTGACACAACGAAGAAAAGAAAAACAGGAGAGAGGGGGACAGGTTTGGAATGTTTCCTGGGCAAACCTGCAATGAACCTTGCCTCCTTTAGCAGAGAATGCCTGCTCTGCCCCAGGGGAAAACAAATAACCGTGCTTGTGCTCTCAGCACCTTGAAAACCCATTGTGTTTGTGTCTGGAGTGAGCATGCACACAGCAGAGATTGCAGACATCCCAGTGGAGCTCCCTGAGAGTTTGCTTCCTTTGCATACCAATTACATGACTCTGTGCATAATGCATAAAGCCAAGATGCTCGGGATGCACACGATGATCCCAGAACATGCACAGAACAATTACAGGAGCGTTTGCAGCAAATTTCATGCTCTCAAGAAATACCAGACTCACTGGTCATGTGCTGGAGACATATCCAGAGATTTTGCATGTGCAGTGCTGTAGCATTCACGAAGGCAATTCTGAATTTCTCATTTCCATTCAAAGGAAGACTTAAAAGGAGCTTTCCATACACTTTAACAGAGCAAAACTGATTTACTGTAGTAGTCCTGAGTTATTGCATTTAAAAGTACTGCAGCAATGCTGCTGTTAACCACAGCTGGATGGGAAATGGAATTCCTCTCCTATGGCATACACAGGCTTGAAACACTTTGTGTTTATCATTAATCAGCAGAAAAGGTTCTATTTCTTTTACCATCAAAACTGTGTATTTAATGTACAATGTAGTAACAAAATTACTTTTTTGGAATAAAGTACATCAGTAATTTCAGATCAGAACATTATTAAAAACTAAAAGTCAGGAAGACTGAAGAAATTG